AAACAGTTTTCCAGATGTTATCGAGACCTCAGATGACAAAACGTTCTTTATAAGACGTTCCTGTACTGTGATATATTAACAATGATGGAACGTTCTGCCTGCAATGTCCTCAGGATGTTTTGGGGATGTTCTTGTGGGAACACATTAAAGACTTTATAAAACGTTCCCACAATGTTCCACAGTTTTACACGATAACAAAAGTAGAACGTTCTCAGTGGAACATTCAGTTTTGAGAACGTTAACGTCTAACAATGTTATCACCAAACATTTTTAGAACTTCTTTAGTTGTCAGACCTTTAATGGAAACATTCTAAAAGAAAACTTTCTGCTGACAATGTTAGCAGAACTTTGCAGAATTTTGCAGAACTTTGCAGAACGTTTTTGGGAACAAATACCTTCTAGCTGGTCCATCACACGTTAAATAAGTCTCCGTGTTTTGTTCTGTGTCTCAGTCCTCAGCAGCAGATCAGCACTTTGGTCCAGTTCAGTTCGACTTCGTCCACCCTGCAGCTCCACAGTCGAGGCTCAGCGGTGGAGAACATCTACCAGATCGCCAACTACGAGTACTGTCCCTTAAGCTCCGCCCACTGGAGACGGGGTCAGAACAAATTGTGAAAACGAGGAGAGTGTCAGGAGAGATGTCGACCACAAACGTCCAATCAGAGGGTTCTAAAGCCGCCATGCCGAGTTCTGGAGGCGGCCATTTTGTCTTTATTCCAGTTCGACGACAGCAGACAGCGACGTGGACGACCATTCTGGAGACTCCTCACAGGAATAATTTCATGTTTTTCTCAGGATTTAATTGAATAAAACTTTAATCAAACAGTTTGCATCAATCTTTTATTATGACAACTTCCAATGAAGTTAAATTGAACCAACAAACTAACTGAAGTCGCAGGAATCTGGATTTTTTATTTACTTAATGAGTGGCAGCGTAAACACATTTTTAAGCTGAAAAATGAAGTTGAAGTGTTGTGTACTTTATTCCCACAATTAGTCGACGACTAGTTTTCAAGCTAATTGCATTACGTTATCCAAACCTAAATTTAAATCAACTAACAGACAACTGAGTTTGCAACCTTGATGCAACCTCAGCAGGCTTTTTATTTGGTTTTGTTTGTTTGTTTAGTTACTGGCAGTTGTTTGTTCAGGCACCTGTGATGTTGTGTAATGTTTCCGGCAGCATTAACCGTAAATGACTGTAGCTGTTAGAGCTTTTATGTATTTCCTGAGCAGCAGCTGAGAATCCACACTAAGGTTCAGAATTATTTCATGACTACCTCAGAACAGTCTTCACCAAAATCCATT